TTCATTATATTGCTGAATTTTACTTAGATTTGCATTCAAAAGGGCTATCTTATGGAGTATGTATTACAGTTACGACCCCACCTAGGACTCATCAGCTCCCACAACTGGAATGGATGTTAGCACTTCACTTAACTTCCCGACCATAGGTACCAATAGGTAGAAGGGCATAAAATTAGGTTCATGTTTTATAACTTTTAATATTCCATCTTCTCCATGCTTTATTTATTTATTTATTCTATCAAATTAGAAAATTCTTCCAACTTTTATAATCCTTCTCAATAAGTATACTTTTATTTGGATTTGAACCATAAAAAGATTATATGAGGTGTATCAATCCTATTTCGTTTAAGGTGATAAGGGAACTGGTAGTTGATTTTTCCTACAGTGATAAGAGTAGAGCTGACGCTTCCATTTAGTTTCACATAGCCTTGCTTCGCAAAAGGTATTCACAGTGGATTGCAGTTTCAACCTCGCAGAAGGTCACACTAGCAATCGAATGTTAAAGCAAATAAAACTTTGCTTTATTGACAATCTCACCACAAAAGGTGATATGGGAAAATGCTTGATATTCCTTGAAATTTACATCTGCCTTGTGACTCAGGGGCACTCATGACATTTGGCTTAGTGGTTAACGTGTTGAAATTATACGCTGCACTGCAATGGTTTGAGTTTCGCTGGGCGTGTTGATAAGGCCTAAGCGAGGTCGAAACTGCAGTCCACTCAGGATAAGAATATCTTTTGGGAAAGCAAAACTATGTGGAATTCATTTGAAATGTAAGGTCTACTTAAATTATTGTGGGAAAAATTCAACTACCAGTTCCCTTATCACCTTGAACGACCTACTGATAGTCTCGAAACTCTACTTATATATGAAAACTAAAAAGTTTATGCCATATGTAAATAGCCAGCTATTTTTGTTAAATATTCTATTTTGCGCTTCTTTTCTGAATAGACGTATATAGAACAAGTACTAAAGGTCACATTATCTTGGTCTTCATACCTTCTATAAAACACTAATCTTATCCAAGTTTTATGAGAATCACATGGTATGTTTGGTGCTATAATGTAAAAATTGTAAGAATTAGAAAACATCTAATGAAGTCTTTCTCAAGTCTCTTGATTATGAGGATTTATTATGTTTCCTTTTTTCCGCTATAAATCATTTTTGGACCATCATCTTTTGTTAAAAATCTCTTCATGCAAATTTATTAGTCCCACTTGAAGTTTGAACCCGTCCGCTTTTTATCAGGTTATTGTTACATTTGTATTAAGCCCTCTGTACAAATCTGACTGGGTCCTCAAAGCCTAACGATAGCAAGGCAAGCAATGATATCTATCAGTTCTAGAAAAATGCCTGTATCTGAAGTTACTGACTTTCTGCAAGCAAGCTGAGGAAGGACTAGAACAAGGATATTGGGGAGATTAGTACTTATCTGAATTTATTTAAATCAAATTATTTAAGACTATTCAATCGATTATACAGAAGCTACTTTGTCTTGCTAGTCAGTATTATTCGAAATAATCTTTCTTTTGGTTATTAGAATAGGTTACTATAAAAATCTATACATACCACTTTTGCCTCCAAATATCTATGCATTGGCATACATTGTCCTTGCTTCCATTTATCTATCTATAATTTTATTTTTTGTCATAATCCCATATATTTGTTATTTTTGGCTATCATACTTTCTTATTCAGGAAACTCTTCGGGAAGCTACTCGTATTCTTTCAACTATGCCAAGGCCATCACCTCGTAAAACTGGCTTTTGCAGCCCAGATGATCGTATTTTTCACGAGGGAATAACTCGTCTTCCCAATGAAGTAAGTATCATCGGAAACGAAAAAATTAAAGAACAAGGGGGACAGGAAATAGAGAGGGGAGAAGATGCGGGTGGAAATGAAGATGGGCCAGAGTTTGCTAGCAATGAAGCCGAGATTGAAGGAGACGAATCGGCATGTCCTATCAACTCAAATTTCGAGATAGCAGTTCACAACAAGACAATTAGCCCGCCATCCGTTGAAGTAAATATGCCCAGGCTAATATGGCATTCTGAGTCCCAGTCTCCTAATTCTGCGCGCAACCAACTGATACCGCATTCGAGAGATCCTTCCATTCTCGGCAATGTTCATGGAAAATCTTGCTCTTCTCACCTAAGCTATTCTTCATCTTCATCCCCTTCTTCCTCATCCTCCTCTGCCTCTTTGGCCTCCTCTGATTCAGATTCAATAACCACTGACAACGACGAGCCTGGAAATACTGAAAGGCAGTCTTCAGTCCGTGTTGCTTCAGGCCATTTAGTGTCTACCGGTGGCTGCATTATTAATACTGGGCAACTTCGATGTCACCAACGGTCCAGCAGGCGCCACCGACTTATTAGTCCAGCCAGTCGGAGCGCTATCAGAACTGGCCTATCTCTCTGCTTGCCGGACGGGAACGTTTGCCAGCGATTACCATCTTCTGCAGGTCAACTGACTCTTGAATCACTGACTGGTGATTGTCGCCTCCCAGAGTCAAGAACCGTTGGCTTAGGTCGTCAAAAGATAGACAAAACAGAAGAGACGCGGCGTGCCACGTCTTGGTCACAATTTGAAGCGGCTGATGATGATGCCTTTCTTGAATCTTTATATTTTTAAAGCTGTAATTAGCTCTTTATTGTGTACGCATAAATAATACGTTCCTATTTGTGCATATTTCTTCTATATCCTAACTTTAACTAGGTGTCTAAAAATTTCCTTTGCTTTACCTTTTAGCATTTTTTTCATTATACTAGCTTCCATTTTACAACCATTATGTTAGTATTCAGTTTCCACTAAAACTGTATTATCTCAAAGCAGAGTTGATTGATTTTCTATGCTCAACTCATTGTGCAATTTTAGTAAATGTGAACATAGCCATATGCGATTTCATTACTTTTGCTTGCTCATTGTCCATATTCGCATAAGCTCTATTATCTACAAATTGTTTACTGCTTCTACTAACAACTTTATAATCTTTGTATTATCCTTCTAATATCTTTTGCATTTTGACTTCTCTCTGGAGACGCAATGCTTCCTTTGAGAAAATTACTCTTTTCTAAATAAATTCCATCTTGTATTCGTTAGGTCATGCTTTCATTATCTGCCTTCTTGTCATTTACTCTCACCACTTGTTTGTCTCAAAATAAGACTTAAACCCAGCTTTTAAAGCATATTATGACTTGAAAATACAACCTATTTTAACCCAGATTCGAATGCTTAGTGCAATATTTCTGTTAGATAGTCCTATTTTTTGTATTACTTTTTGCATACTCATTTCATTGGTATGAAATTTTCATGACTAAATAATCCCGCTTCTTTAGTTCCCTCACTGTATACTCATACTTTCATGTATTTACAGAGATGGTTGTATGCATAAGTATCACAATGCAGACCACTTTTGATAAACCCCCACACAAGGCTTAATCTATTGCAGTGATTTTGAGCCTCGACATGACCACATCAGCTCTCTTTTCACAAATCCCAAATTGGTGACCTTATCCTTACTTATACGTGAAGGAAGCTTTCTATTGAGCTTGCCATGAACTGGTTTGATCACCGTTCTTGGTTATATTCATAACCTGAGCCTCCCTATTTAACAGGCCTATGTATTGGAGTGGCAATAGCTTTGGATATGAAAGCCCCACGAAAATTTCACCCCTGATTTGTTTTATCTTTTTAAATTAATTTAACTCTATAATTAATATATTCTTTACCATTTTGAAATTGTTTCTTATTGTCTATTTTGGCCCAAGAATTCCCTGTTTACCCAGCCCAAATTC